CGATCGTCTAATTGCAATTTCTGGTTTTTCTGCAAGCGTATATCAATTTTTAGAATAATTTGCTTATCAAGACAGATGCTAAAAATTACAGAATTTGATGAAAAGCTTTCTAGCATATTTGAAATTTTCGTGAGATCTTTATGAAAAATGTTCTTCATTTTTTTGTTTGTTGACCGTTGCACTTAGACTTGTGAGTAAGTGTTCATATTTTCCGCCAACAAAAAACAACATTTAAAAGAGAAAGACAATAGTTTTGTAGGAGAGAATATCTTTTAACACATAAGCATAAAATGAACTCTAATGCGCTGAGAAGTGTTCTAAAAAAAGGAAAAAGTACTGTCATGTTTAATATGGACAATTCGTTATGATTAAAGAAGAATTTCATTGAAATGTTATATTGAATCTTTTAGAAAATGAAATCAACAGTTGCAGCTGAAGCAGTACAAGCAATGAATCCAAATATGCATGTTCGTGCATATGTTGATGAAGTTTTATCAGAAACCGAACATATTTTCGACGATCACTTTTTCGAACAATTGGATGCTGTTGTTAATGCACTTGACAACGTCATAACTCGTCAGTATCTTCGAATAGAATGAAACGAGTGATATACATAAAATTTTTTTTTTCGATTTTCTTGTCTGGAAAAGATAGTTTTAAATTAAAATTACTTTCCCTACTCGAGATTGGTCAAATTAAGCATTTGAAGAGGTAGCTCAAGAATAAAGAGAGAGACACATATTCAAGAGAGATAGAGTAGTTTTGTGTATGTTTCTTGTTAAGTAGTTTACAAAAGTTTTATCGGAGTAGATCAGACTTTTGATAAGAATAGACGAAATAAAATATCTACTCATGCGATTCGAAGCTAGAGATAGATCTCTTTTTACTTTTGAGATATATGAATCGATAGAGATCTATTTAATCTATAGTTAGATTAATTCATGTCATTAAAATGAGCGATTTATAAGTCCGGTCAGTCTTGAGATTAAATCGCCTAAACTAATGAGTTTACTGTTTTTTCCTCTGTTTTCATAAAAAACCCTGATTAATCTACAAACTTTTAGAAATTTATGAAAGAATAACTCTAGTCACTTTTTCAGTAAAATATCGCCAAGGAGTCCTTCAAAAATTCCGTGAGGAATCATGGCAGATATCTCTTTGGGGATTTTCTTGAGAGTCTAGTACAAGAATTATAACTATGGTACACTTTCAAATACGGTGTTGTTTATTGTTGTATTCCTATGAGCTTCTCATAAGTGGAATAGATATTTTTCTCTTTTTGCCTATTGACAAATACAAAAATATAAGTTGTTTTCTAAATTATACATACAGATGACAATGTAGTTGATATTATCAAAATAAAAAAAAGCAATTCATTGCAAAGTCATACTTCCCGTGTCATTGTTCTTGAAATTGATCTAAAGGAGAACAAAACAATTTATTTCTTAAATTAATATATTTATCGCGTAAGTTATTGTGGATTAAAATAGTTTCTCTAATAAAAAAAAGATGGATTATACAAGAGCTGGAAAAATAAAAATGATCATGTCTATTTTCTTATTGGTTGAAATTAATCAGACAGTAAATATTCAGACTGCTGCTTTCAGAAATAAGAAATTTCCGAATAATTTTTATGAAAATCGTTCGTACGTCGCTGTTTTTAAAATATCACGATTTCGATCACACGGAAAGTTCAATAAATGAATTTCACGTTGTTCGAAGAATTTCATTGAGAACGAGGGTATTAAGGAAAGGGGATACATTTTCTGTATACGAAACAAACATGAAATAAGGCTTGTTAATAATACTACGATCAAGGGATTGTTATCTATTCAACGTGTTCACAGTTCTCTGACTCGTATGAAACTGATATTCCACATAGTACACTTTAAATTGATTTCAGTTGTACTTCTATGTTTTTGAAAATTTCAGCTTTTATTGTTAAGGTCAATATATTGATCGTCGTTGTGTCTATCATCAGAAACCATTGGTCGATAGTGGAACATTAGGTACAAAAGCAAGTGTTCAAGTTATTGTTCCATTTCTTACTGAATCCTATTCTTCAACCACTGATCCACCTGATCCATCAGTGCCAATGTGTACTTTACGTAATTTTCCAAATTTAATCGAACATACAATTGAATGGGCGCGTGATAGTTTTGTTAGTCTGTTTACGATGCCTCCTCAACAAGCCAAAGAATTTCTGCGAAGCCCAAAAGAATTTGCCGAACGAACAGCTAAAAATCATTCTGAATATGACAAAACTGAAATAATTGAAAATGTTAAACGTATTCTTGGTGAAAAACGTCCAAAAATTTTCACCGATTGTATCGAATGGGTAAATATCTATTAGTCGATAGCAACCTAAGAAAAACAAATAATTCTTTTTCTTTCAAGTCACGTAATCTTTTCGAACAACAATTTCATAATTCTATTGCTCAATTACTTTATAATTTTCCACCCGACCATATTACAAGTAAAGATGAACATTTTTGGAGTGGAAATAAACGATGTCCACATGTTTTAAAATTTGATGTTAATAATAAACTTCATTTGGATTTTATTGTTGCTGCATCAAATTTACTTGCATGCATCTATTACATACCACAAACATGTGATCGTAAACTAATTGCTGAAGAAGTTGTAAAAACACATATACCTGAATTTAAACCAAAATCAGGTATAATAATACATGAAAATGATGAACAAGTAAGAGCTGATCTTGAACGACACAAAAATATAAGTACAAGGCGCAAACATAGTCAAAGTGGAAACGATGTACAAGCTGAACAACTTCTTAGTCGATTACCTAAACCTGAAGATGTTCTAGATATTAAAATTCAGCCACATGAATTTGAAAAAGATGAGGATACACATTTTCATATGGATTATATTACAGCAACAGCAAATTTACGAGCTGAAAATTATGAAATACAAAGAGCTGATCGAAGTAAAATCAAGAGAATTGCAGGAAATATTATTCCAGTTATTGCAACAACAACAGCAATGGTTACTGGACTTGTTTGTCTTGAAGTTTATAAATTTGTTCAACATCATAAAAATATAGAATCATATCGAAATGGATTTGTTAATTTGGCTTTACCATTTTTTGGATTTTCTGAACCAGTACCACCAAAACGTCAAAAGGTATATAAGAATGAGACACGAAAAAAATATCAATCAGTTTTTTAAAACTATGAATTGTTTTAATTTTAGTATCTTGACAAAGAGTTTACTTTAT